TATCAGACCTTCACTGAATTTTACCTATTTGCTAGATGAATGTGACCTTGAGCAAAACAAAGTCCCTGCCTTTGAGTTTATATTCTAGTGAAAAATGGACAGATACTTGAATACTAATAGGCAGTGGTAATTACAGTGGTAGAGAAATAGAGCAGCATGAATAAAGGGAGGAAGTACTGTGGGGTTGGAGCATTATTATTTAATATAGTGTGATTGGAAAGGCCTCTCTGATAAAGTCCTGTTGGAACAGGGAACTGTGAAGTAGGAAGTGAATCATGTATTCCAGGCAGAGAGAGTAGCCAGTGCAAGGGCTCTGTAGGAGAAGTTTACCCCTTTAAGGAATAGCAAAGAGACCATTTTATGTAAAGAGATTTGACAAGGGGAAAAGTAGCAGTGTGTGACCAGAATTATTAAGGGAAGAAAGGATCTTGTAGACTGTTATATGAACTTTGATTTTTATTCAGAGAGAACTCAGAAGCCTTTGGAGAATTTTGAGCAGAGGATATAAAGTTTTCTGCCTTTTATTTCTAAAAGATCACCCTGGTTGATATATTGACAGTAGACTGAAAGAGGGATAAGGACAGAAGCAAGATTACCTATAAGGCTGTTAGAGTATAATTCAGGCAAGAGGTAATAATGGTGGTTTGGATCAGGATGTTGTGATGGTGGTGATCAGATTCCAAATATGTTTTTTTTAAATAGAGCTATCAGAATTTGCTGAAGGATTGAGCTTTTGGCCACTACACCATATGTGGGATTTTTTGTTTGTTTTGTTTTGTAGAAAATTTAGAAGATACAAATAGAAAAAGCAATTATCTTTATTTTCTGTTCAGAGGTGACCACTGTTAAAATTTTAATGTATTTTTGTAGTGTGCATCATATGCATAGGCGTAGACACATGGCACAGTGCATGTGTAAACAAACTTTTTAAAAATTAAACTCTATCCGCAAAGTGGGGCTCAAACTCACAACCCTGAGATCAAGAGTTGCATGCTCTACCAACTGAGCCAGCCAGGCACCCCATAAACAAACTTTATATGTAATGAATGTTTTCAGTATCATTAAATATTCACCAGCATTTTAATGACTGCATAATGTTCCATCCTATGAGTGAATTACAGTTTATTTGATTCCATATCAACATGTAGGATGCTTCCGGTTTTTTCCTGTTATATATAGCATTTAAGAGAACATTGTGGGCGCCTGGGTGGCTCAGTTGGTTAAGCGACTGCCTTCGGCTCAGGTCATGATCCTGGAGTCCCTGGAT